CTGACCTGACTGCGTGACAGCCTAGGCTGTGTGTGTCGAGGCCTGTGATGCTAATTATATTCCCTGTCCATTATTCCGTACTATTATTATTATTATTGCTCCGGAGTTGTACTGTCGCATTCGAACCATCGATAGTATACTCTGTAGTTAGTTAATAGTCCCCATACGCTATAGGGACCCATCCGGTAGTATCTCCTCCGTCGCCATCCAGCATGTGATTCCGCAGCAGGAGTAGGGATTAGACATGATTCATTGTTCAGTAACCAACTAACTATCGGAGGCGACAGGATCGAGAATGGCGACTTGCCCGCCGGTCTCGTTGTCAATGCATGAAAAGACCAGAGGCCTGAGGAATAGCGCCGAGGTGTATTGTCATGAAACGCCGCAGTTTTATTTTTCTTCCTCTCTAGGTATTCTTGCCTCGTCACTCGTCAGGCCGTTTTCGATCGACAGGTCGGCAGGCAAGTAATCACAATAATAATGTGAGATTCGATTCTGCTGCGGTCGTGCTCGGTGATGACTGGTCAGGACTCGAGAATATTCAGGTGAAGGATGGCCTGGCGAGAGTCCGGATTGGTTTGATTCGGTTTTCCCGTGACCGAATCGTCTTTGGTTTCTTTTCTTTCCATCTCAACTCATGATGACTTCATCTTATTCTGGCTGACCTTTTTTTTAGCCCCATAATATCCCATAGGGCTGTCTCATAACCTCGCACTTTGTACACCGTTTTGAGTCTGGGATGGCAGAAACGTAACCATGGAACGACCCTCGAAAGAGTAACCCGTCGTATCCACCAAAGAAAAAAAAAAAAAAAAAAAAAAAAAACTAAAAAATTAAAAACTATTATTGACGGATGAGTTATGACCATTATCCACTTTTTTCTCTCTCTCTCTGTCTCCAATTTTCCTTTGATTATTTGTGCTGCGTTCTCAAATCTTCCCCCGGTTACTGGATTGGAGATTCCACAGCGCCAATTCCCAACCGGGGACCTAGTTTCTACCAGGGGGGTCTCAGCTGGACCGGAACCTGCTCAAGGTTGGTCACTAATGCCCAACTATCACACCTTCATCCAGACTGTCGGGACCATGGTGGTATTCACGATGCAAGAATCAGACGGTGGAGGTTTGAGACTTGAGAGGGGAAGGGGGGAAGGTCCCACGAACGGAACCCGGCTTGCATGAGGCGCTTGACTTGGTCAAGTAAAAATCGCGACATTTTTTGATTGTCGTTGCAGGTCGCTTCTGTTCGTCTCCTTGGGATTCATTCCCGCGGGTCTGGGTGAGGGGGTAGTTGGCGTTGCAAGAGAGATGAGGGCGATACTCCGTACATGGACTGACGAGGCAATAATAGGCAGACAGGCATTTCTGGCGATGCGCTATCCGGCACACTTACGCAGGCGTCCTCGGAGTCGTAGTAACACACACTACCCAGAGTGGTAGACTGCACCGTACACCCTATATTGCTTCCGAGTTATTAATCTATCAGACCTTTTTTTTTTTTGTTTCTGTTCTTGCGGCTTCGTAGCTCCGGACCACATCTGCGGACATGTACGTCTGTCCCGAATCGATGGCCTACAGGCTAGGCTACTCCCAAGTCCCAAGTTTTTCTAACGATCCTCACCAACGTCGGCGAACTGAAATCTCTTAACTAGCACGTAGCAAGTAGCAAGATGGATTTGATTGCCCCTGCTTAACCGGATCCAGCAATTGTTGGCGGAGGTTCAGGACGATTGAAAAGTCCGGAGGTCCATGATCTATTTTTTTTATTATATTTTTTATTTTCACTTTTTAATCTTCTCAACATTGCTACTGTTGTTCGGGTTCTCGGCCTTGAGGATCCGTAAGATTACGGAGTAAACGAGCTGCGGGTCTTTTTACTTTGACGGAGGACGTAGCTATCTGAATGTTAACAGGGCATTTAGGTACTGGACCGAGCCTTGCGGGCGCAACTTTTAAGACCTACTTACAGGGAAAACTCAAATTGGAGGGGACTGTTTGGCTGGTCTTTTTATCCGTTACCCATTGGGAATTTCACACAAAGAAAAAAAAAAAGAGCCGAACTTTTAGTTAGGCGCTCGAATAATAGTAGTTATCTTTCATTACTCCGTAGTTGGTTACTGATTTACTGAGTACCACTTCTTTGTTGCTTCAGTCGTCACAACTTTCTTTTCCTGTGGGATTCAGAATTCTTTCATTCTTCATCGGAGATCTCCGTTTCTGATAAATCCACATTCCACCGTCGGGTGTCTGTCTATCCTCCACGGTCCACAGCTGGAGATGGAATGGATTTGCTGTCTTTTGATGTACACATTACGTGGAGTGTCTGTGTAGTCCGGCATTCTATTCTGTAAGGAGCGAAACTACGAACCGAAAATTAAAACAGGAAATAAAGAGAAAAATAAGACGTGTTTTTGATTATTCTAATTCATTTCGCTTTGATTAATTGATTTTCGTTTTTCGCCGCGCACCTCACCTAAGTGGAGATTTGTTTCATCACTCCACAGTCCACCGACTGGACTGGACTTTTTACTTACAGTGCGGTCCCTAGGAGTTGAAGTTGAATGTGACAGGGATTGACTTGTGCCTGTGACTGGCAGATAGTAGTACACAGCAGATGCACATGAGGACAGGACAGACATCATCCTCATATACATCGTCAATAGTAATAGATTGTGCAATGTGCAACTGAAAGTCTGAAGAGAACTATGGAAGCGGACTTATAGTCAGCACTGACTAAGTCGGAGGCTCCGTTCTCCGATCTCCACGTCCGGCGGTCGGCTGGAATTTCCCCTTCCCCGCCTTCCCGTCTGTGCCGTTGCCGTCCCTGTCGATGAAGATGTACGCACTACGGCTTCCTTCACTGGACTGTACTACTATGTAGCAAGGACTTCCAGACCCTCTTCCTTCTTCAAGAATTAGCTCCTCCTGCTGCTCCTCCTCGTATTTCTTATCTCCTTTGTCTCAGAGAACAGTTGCCTAAAAATCAAGGACGAGAATATCAACTAAAAAGTACGGACCTTCGGACCTTCGTATTGACCATTCAGTGACCGTTGCGCGCATACATCGTAGAGATATACACATAGAGAAAAAAAAAAAAAAAAACAAAGTTAACCGGCCGAATAGAGGAAAAGAAATAGTCATTATGAGGTCAGATAACTAAAATGAATCAGAAAAAAAAGAAAGAAGGTCGGAGTCCCAGACTGTCCGCGATTGCGAGGCCGAGACTTACTACTTCGGGCTTAGTCTCTGATGTAAGAGCCGAGGGTTTGTTACGTATCGTTTCGTTTCGTACGCGTGCTTCGGCGCCGGTATTTGGTGTATACGGTATGGCTTCTTACGACGGGAGGGTTTGTTTATCGTCTACTTTCTAAGGTACTTCGAACGAGCTGGAAGCATCGGTCTATATCTCGCTCATCAGAATGAGAGAGAACGAGGATAGACGCGTCGATGAATGTGCATACAAGCCCTGTCGTTGATGCCAGGTGAGTCTTCTATCCCAGGAAGTATCCATGAACCAAACTGATCAAGACAACCGAAGTGACGCTTCTCTTTCCTACCATCGCCAGCTCATCTGTTAATGTATCTCTGCTGCAGAATTCAGACAATAACCATGATCGGGTGAAATAGAAGGATCGAATGGGTTTCATTCCACCATACAACCACCGTGCAGTCGTCTCAACGCCCTCCCGACAAGGTGGTTTTGATATAACGCCGGGGGAAACGGACGCCATCAATTTCGCTCAGTCGGCAGAGTAACCGGGATAGGTGCGTTCCATTCGATACCTAGAGCAGCATGGTCGGTTGAGATTGAAGTAGTCTCGTAAGCTACCATGTCCACTCGTGCCGTGAGGACCTAGGTGCCTGTCCGGCTGGCCCTTAGGTTTTGACCCCAACATCAACGGTGAAGTTTGATTTCCTGCAATGCACGATACCTTGTCTTAGAGGACCTAAACTGCTCGAAGGGGAAGGGCTATGGCGAACAATGAGTTAGCAAGGTAGAGAGGAGAAATGAACAAGGCAGAAGAGATCACCTGAAGGAGTCGAATGCAACGAACCTCGTCCGTCTCTCGATCTTCAACTGTCTTCGCCAGACTATCTACGAACCCGGAACCGCTGGTGTTTTTGGACAGAAAACAAGGAAAGAGAAGCCGATGGACCGTGTCTCGATCACACGAGGATCCAACTCGCCTCTCTATCAGATCGACATCATCCCGATGCTTCGGCGTCGTCGCGGACCATGGCCAACCGCTGTCGAGCGCGTTCGATGGGTTAAGTGTTAGATCTTAGATAATGAGGCTTGAATGAAGAGGATATCGTACTTGGTATGCCGGGACTCCCAGGGATTGGATCATGGTCAGAGACCCTGGTTGTTGGACAGGCGTGGAGTCCTTCTCAGCCATCGAGCCAGAACTGGATGGATCCTCTAGACTGTTCTTCGTAGATTGGAGATACATTCCCCGTACGGTCTTTTTTCTCACAAGAAGGAAGAGTTCAGACGGATATAAGCCATCCTTTGGGAGCGACAGGGAGATTCCTTGGTCCCTTTCCCCTTGCGGAATGTGATTGTAGATGCGGTTGTATCTCAAAAGCTTCTTACGACAAAAGAACAGAAAGCAGATGGGATTTTCAAAAATTCATATTTCATGCAACTGCATGCCTGTCATGATAACTGACAAATGGCCTTGATATTATTTCATCGGGCGAGGGCGAAAAACCACAGAGCAAGTAAAAAACCACAGGGCACGTAAAGAACCGCAGGGCAAGTAAAGAACTGCAGGGCAAGCAAAGGACCACAAGGCAAGTAAGAAACCACGGGGCAAGTAAAAAACCATAGGGCAAATGAAAACTCCACACAACAAAAAAGAAACCCTCAGCAGCCGATGACAACCATCCTTTTCAATCCTCCACACGGTTGACTTCTGTCAAAAACCGCCAAATATTCCATCTCCATCCCTTGTACATCGTAAACAGAGTGGCGTTCGATCAACATTCATTCAAGAATCAATCGACATGGATACCGGTAGCGAAATCGCACCTGGAGAAAGGAATACAAATCAGTCATCAATCATTCTCCATCAAAGGAGAAGGGATACTCACGGGTCACTGCCATACTGCACATTGCAATGCTCCCACTCGGTGTCACGAATGATGGCAGCGCGGAAACGCACCGCGTCCTCGATGGTACAGAAGTGGAAGGACGCACTTCTTGCCTGTTATGATGAATTAGCACCCACTGACCGGTAGGCAACATTATCGATAGAAGTACTCACTTCACCGGGGACCCAAGAGTCAACGATTTTTTCGATCTTACGATTCTGTGCAGTAGCCAGATCGATCATCTGCTGCATGGTCACCTCCAAGTCAACTCCGACGGCACGCACGACGCGAGTTGCGCCGACAGAGAGGTTAAAAGACAGCTGAGAGCTGATCACATCGACGTCCTTGCCCATGTCGACAAAGACGGTGACCTTGCGACTCTTGTCTAGGTCAATGCCGTTGGGATACTTTTCATAGAAGGCCAAACACGCATCCGCTTCACAGAAGCGAATGTGGGCGATGCCTCTGGGAGAAACGCAAACGTTTTCGATACGACCTCCATGGACGAGCGACAGCACCTTAGTGGGAGTAGCCCAGGTGGACGGTAATCCTCTGATGATGACGGTTCTCACACGCGCAGCTGGCAAATACGGGAATTAGTTTCAAATCTGACGGATGGTCACTTCGGGGGAGGCTCCAGGCTAGGCATGCTCTTACCAGGCTTTGCACGGCTAGCAGGAGTTCCCCAGGTCTCGAAGGTAGTGAGGTTCTCACGGTTCTCTTCCTCATCGGGGTTTCTCATGAAAGCAGCACCAGCCTCAGTGGCGAAGGAGAGGGCATTCTTTGAGACGAATGCGATTTCATGTTTGGGGGTTTCCGCTATTGAGTGGAGTTTGGTATCAGCTCGAGTCGATGAAAAACAGAAAGGAGCACTTACCAAAAGAGCTGATCTCGTTGGCAACAGACACCGATTTGGCATCATTTGCGTCAACTGCAACGGCAGAAGCGCTGGTCGAAGGACGAGTAAATTCATCCGCGCTCTTCCAAGTTTCGTCCTGCTCGCCAGTAGCTTCTTCCGCGGCAATAGGAGAAGTGGCCTTGGCGGAAGCGTAACTAGGCTGACTGAGCATGAAAGAACGAGCCGCTGCCATAAAGCCGGCAGTATCGTCAACGTTTGCAAGGACAGGCATCTTGACAGGCTCTTTGTTCTGGATGATAGTAGAAACCTGCGCTAGTGGGATGTTAGAAAAACCGGTCCAAGAAACAGTGTCACATTTCTTACCGGAGGAAACCGTCAACAGGGTGTCGCCTTTCTCACCAGTGGTCACAGTCTCTTGCTGAGAGCTCGAGGCGTAAATGAACGCAGAGAGGCCCTCGTTTTCAGAGACTATCGCAGTCATTTGCGGATTAGTAGAAGCTTTGACTGGACCGAAGTGAGAGATGGGGCTCTTGTTTTTGGAGATGACCGCAGTGCTTTGCGGATTGGTAGCAGCCTTGGCTGCACCGGGGTGAGAGATGGGGCTCTTGTTTTCGGAGATGATCACAGGAGCCTTGACTACGCAGGAATGAGAAATGGGGAGGCTCTTCTTGTCACAAGGAAGAACAGGCTTGTTTTGAGCAGGGGAGATGTGAGTAGAAGAAGCCTTGACTTCGCCGGGGTGAGAAAGGGGAATGTCCTTGTCACAAGGGAGAACAGGTTTGTCTTGGGCAGGTTTGTCTGGGGCAGGTTCCTCTTGGCCAAGAAAGATGAGAGCAGAAGCACAAACGCTATTTGTCTCCTTGAGGTGGTCTGTAGAAGCCTCCGAAGCTGTGAAAGAAGAAGAAATAGTTTCGTAGCCACTGGGAGTGAATACAGATTCGCCCAGAAAGGGGGTGAAAAAAACAAAAGCAAGTTTGGAGAGGGCTTTCTTTTTGGCCGAAGTGTCCTTCAAAAGAGGTCAGTTCAGTGCCAGTGAAACTGGAAGGATGATGAGAAACTTGAAGAAATCGAGGAATCCAGGAACGGAGGAACGAGAGGGACGAGGGGACGAGAGGACGAACGAGAGGACGAGAGGATGGGATTATGACAAGAAGAGGGGAAGAGGGGAAGAGTGAATGGAGGAGAAAAAGTAAACAGAGGGGAGTGGAAGAGGGAGGACTCACCTGAGTGGCCTGGGCCTTGATAAGCTGGAAAAGCGCGACAAGGGCCACGCCAATCCTGAGTGCGACAATCAGGAGGAGAACGTAGATCTCCAATACTGCGAATGTTATGAATTCGAGCATATTGACGGTTCAAGTAGCTACAATCGAAGAGGGAACTGGAAGATGGTGTTGGTGGAGAATGAACTCGAAGTGGTACGAAGTGGGAAGGTTGGAGAAAGAAAGGAGGAAGAAGACTGAGAAAGAGAACGAGAAAGAGAAGAAGAGACTACGGTTGCTGGGATGAGGGAAAACACAGGATGCAAGTGCGATTGGTAGTGAATGACCAGGCCTTAGTATGTACGGTTGCCCTAGCACCCTTGGTTGGAGAAACAAAGTCTACCTACATACACACAGGAAGATACGCCCTGCTCAACTTGGCAGTGGGATCAGCTCCCACCCTTTCTGTCCTTCTTCGCGATTCTCGACAATCACCTGAAGCCCTGGTCGTTCACAATAGCTGCCCCGGTCGACAATCTGTTCGACCATCCGAAAAGACCCGCCATTTTCCTCGTTGTTATCGGGCACCCAGATGGTCCGCTCGACCCGTTGGCCAGGAATTTCCGTCCGGCGAGGGTTGACCCAGGGGAGGCCGATGAGGTGGTTGCCAATATTGTGGATGAGACTGTAGAGTTTCTCAAACCGACGGGTCGTTCCTAGCCAGGAAAGCGTGCGGGAGTCGTAAGCCACACGCACAAATGGATTCAGGTAAATCCCCGAGTCGGTGATCTCATTCGCATTCAGGTGAGGTTGTTGGATATCAGCGTGGATGAGGCAGCACTCCGAGGCTTCCCAAAACATATCCTGCGAAGCACGGAATCGGACCGGAAGGTCTTCATGGCTATTCACCTGCTCCGTGGGCTTCGTCGCGTGCTGGAAATACCGCGCATCAAATGCCACCGCGCCTCCCCAGCAGCTTCGGACCCGGACAGCATCTTTCCCTGCGAGCACATCCTGACGACTTGTTCCTTCCCCGGAAGTGGTAAACCAAGGGAAGAAAGGCAGACCCATGCTGTACCCCTGGAGGTCCCGCGTGGCGTAGGTGTCATAGAACTTGAACGGATTGTCGAAATCGGTGGCGCAAACGGCCCGGTAATGAGCAATGCCATCATCTCCCACGTTCGTCGAGAACAGAAGCTGAGCTATATCAATAGGGTCAAAGATGATGTCATTCAAAACAAGAAGTTTATCATAGCGGATTTCGGGGTTATCGTCCAACGGCCGTAGGGCTCGGTTCCGGACCTCAGCCAAGTATTCGACCCGAACTATACGCTTCGATCCGCCTGGAACCGACACACGCGGTAGCCTATCCAGATCCAGATGTTCTTCAAACACAATTGACTTGTTACAGGGCACTTGTCCCTCCAGCTCCTGCAGCGCGTTCTTTCCCTCCGGTCCGCTGTCGTTTTCATAGATACTCAAGAAGACATTATCCTCCCCGAGAATATCGATCAACTCGAGTATCCCGGAGCCCCATGGTCCTCGCGCTAGTTCCCCATCCCGATCATATAAGCTAGCCGCAATGAAAACTCTCTCGTTCCGAACGTTGCCTCTGCCCGAGATCTTTGACTGCGATATGGCATCTTCAAGTGTCGAATAATGGGAGGGTGGGCGAGTGTAAGACGGCCGAAAAATCGACGTCAGAATGACAAGGGCAAGAATGATCCCTGCGACGGCATGGAGGTAGAAGCAGGACCGACGAAGCAGGAGGCGGCGATAACAGCCGGGTCGGGAGGAGGTCAAGAACAAGGGCCGGGAAGGTTTTAGACGACGATAGCCGGAGTATGTGGAAGCAAAAAGCCTCGAAAGCAAGGGTACTCTGCGCAAGAGTCGTCGAGGTCTCGGCGGGACCTGGGACTCAAAGTCCGCTTCGTCGAGATTGAAGGTCCCCTGAGAGTCGATTGATGATCGAACTTCGAGCTCATACTCATCCGGATGAAGGAGGCGGGCGGACATGGTGAACGTTCATCACCATTGAGATATACCTAGACGCCCATCCTATCCCGAAAAGATAGGTTATCGGCCAGTTGAGGGGGTTGGGATGGTGGGCACAATCGCGATCTCGGCGATTGAACACACAAGCTTCGAAGCTCCAGGCTGAAACGGGGCTTATGTCAGCGGGGATGCCAAGACTGAGCAGCTACTCCGTAGTACGTAGTGATTAACTACCTAACTACAGGACTACGGAGTAACTAGTAACGTATACACAGCAGTTAGCTGCAGCCAGTGGTGAGAGGGACCATCCTTGTCGAGAATCCCAGACGATGGCGCCATTCCGGTCTCCTGTAAAGATACCCTTAGATCCCTAGTATTTATCGCCCTCCGAGAATGACTCCGAAAGACCCCGCCGAGTCAAGGTTGTCATCACCAAAATCGGTGGATGGTGGAGCTTCCCCCTCCCCCGGAAGTGACGTAGCTTAAACTCCCCTCCAGCCCGTTTGACTCCGCCTGCAACCTTTCCCTTCCTCTAACTCTGTCCTGCTCGACTACATCGTATACCTACTCGACTTGTTGTTCTCTCCCTGAACGAGTCGCCCATCGCTCCCACCGCTTCTCATCAAATTCGGTGCCCAGTCTTCCAGAGCTTGTACAATCTCTCCCCTCGTATATATATTTATTCTTCGAACAAACGTGCTACACAATCCCATCATGGCGAAATTTGTCTTTGCCAATTCGTCACAGAAGGTCCCCGGAGATGGCATCCTCCCCGCCCAATTCACCATCAAAGCAAGTCCGGAGACCGACGTCTGGGCTAAGCCTCCCTCCACGGAGTCGTTCAATGCGCCTATCCTATACCGAAGTATTCCCTTGGCTTCCTTCAAACGGGTCCGAGTCGCTTTCAACGCTCTGTGGCAGCATAAATACGACCAGGGTGGTCTCATCCTTGTCCTGAACGGAGCCGACGGGTCTCGCAAATGGGTCAAGACCGGCATCGAGTTCACACACGGTCGGCCCCATCTCAGTACCGTTTCCAAGGACCGGTGGGCGGACTGGAGTCTGCAGGCCGTTCCGTCGGGCGGGGGCGCGGCGACACTGGAGCTGGTCAGAGAGTCGGACAACAGCTTGTGGATCTACCTGGTCGAGGGTATTCAGAAGGCACCCCTCCGCGAGGTGACCTGGATCTTTGAGGAGCAGGGCGTTAAGGATCTCTGGGTGGGACTTTATGCAGCAAGGCCAGGCAAGGAAGGAGGCGAACTAGATGTGAACTTTGGCCATCTGGTTGTGGACACGGCTGAATAGATAGACGAGATGGCGACGACGACATGAACAATCAGTTATGATCATCCTGTATCGCTTTCTTTATTTTTCTTTTTCCCCTCACTTTATTTTTGACAGGGGGGAACATGTGCTCACTTGGACAAAATTATGAGCCTACGTTAGACCGGCTGCTTGGAACGGTGCATGTTAATAGCGAGAAAATAGGGACAGAATGAGGACACCGAACCTAGACATTGCAGACTTCAAGAATCTCCAACTGTAGAGTCAGTCCCCCAGTCTTTCCCCGCACCGGACGAAATGGGATGCCTCAGGTTGCACCCGCTCGCTTTGGCCTCCCGCGTTCGCATGGGATGTGGTTTTTTGCATTGCATTGCATTGCAGATGCTGAACGCTGGATACTAATCTCTCGGTTCACGTCTTGGATATGGATCTCTATCCAAGGGGGTTCCCATGTGGAATGTATGGTCCAATTTGGCCATACCGGGAACGCTCACGACAGCGTTGGAGATGGCCGTACACCGCAGACACTTCGATATGCTTGCAGGGGTTTGGCTACTACTAGTCATGATCGGGTTACTTCAAGTTAGTTGATCCTGTATGCAAGTTCATGCAATGGGCCAGCTCTCTCCCCACTGCTGAATGAGTTGGACTCGGAGGCCTTATCAATTGTTGCATCAAGTTCTTACTAACCCTGACAAGGGCTTCCGTGGACATGACTTACCTCTCATACTGTTGCTACAATAATTGTTTTTCTCTGGGAGATAGAATACTCAGGTAAGGTCTGGTTTAAGACTCAAGGGAACCAAGGTCTTACTCCATTCATGACGATAATGCATGGTTGGGCTTTCCGTAAACTCCGTATATCCACAAGGAGCTTTACCGCGGCAGCCACGGCTCAGAAAGTTACAGTGCAATCTTTTCTTTTCAGTCTCCAGCCCCGTTATTATCATTTTCTTGCCTGCACCACTACTCTGTCTCAAGGGCATAGGTGGAGGGCTTTTGTTTCACCTGTTTATCCCTGGAGCTGCCTATCTCCACTTTTCTCCATAATCACGGCATATCCGTCATGACACCGACGATTATTTACCAGAACGGTGGGTTAAGGTCGCTTCCCGGTCCACCCGGAGAGAATTTCATTGAAATCTAATGTTGATACTCTGTGCCATCGACAGGTTCGAATTTTGCTTAGAGGGGTGGCAAGAGCAGGCCCGGGACGTTTGCTATTGGAAATAATACAGCGAGAACAGCACGATAATGCGCTTCTCACCAGGTTAGTGGAACAAGCGGAATTTAAATCCAGTCAATCAAGTTGATTCAGATCATCTTTTGTGATTTTCAGGATACAAAGCCCCGCCGTACGCTCAAGCCCGACTAAAGAGATCATTGTCATTCGGAAGATTGGTGTCCACTCCACACACCGGGAATTACCCGATCGATGAGACGATCGATATTCGATACACGTATTACTGTGAGGTTATTCTACTGTGAGGGAGCTAGGAAGAAGGTCGAAGACAGACAAACGGCAAACAGATTGGGAGAAGGATCCCTTGGCGAGTGAAGGATGAAGAAGTAAGGGGCACGCCAAAAACTGGCGATACGTTCGTCGCGTCCATCTCTTCCCGAAAGGGGAATGCTCTATATCCTCCGGAATTCTGGTGTCACCTATGAGAAGACGAGTCGATGGTCAGACACCTATGAAAGCGCCGTCTCGAGCTATTACGGAGCACGCTGTACTTGGCCAGCAAACCTGGCAAAACCCACCTGCCCACGAGGACTTCTAGTGCGACCTTGAGGTTTGAAAGCCCAACGCGTGATGAACTAAAAAAGGGCCGGGTGGAGTGGCCCAGTCGGGAAAATGGAAATGACCAAACAGGGGGAGCTAACTACTACGCTGTAGTTACTCCGTACTAATTTTCTCGATTTCTCACCAGGCGGCAGTCGCGGTTTTGTCCCTCAGTGGATGAAGATATCTTGAATTATGAGTTCTGAATTGAATATGGACACTGGAGGAGTCATAGACAGCGTCATTAATATTACTCAGACTGACTCATACTACAGCCTGATGGAGGGGCAAAAAAACTAGGAACACGAACATCCGCCTGAGCTGAGTGGATGTGGATGGAGCGGTACAACCCGAAGACAACAAGACCGGGCAAGGTGTCTGCCCCAATCATGCGACTGATGGGCTGCGGGTTTTTCTGCTCTTGCTTAGTACGGGCGGTGCGCCGAGTAGACAAGGCCGTGGTTTCAACGGTGTTCAAAGACGAGCATTCCTTGGAATCGATCCGCGGTGAAAGTCTATACTTCTGGAATGCAAGGGGAAAGGAAAGGCATGAGGAGAGCCGAGGCGAGCCTGCATTCCTTGACCAAATAGACCCGCCAGACGGCCAGCAGCGCGTCCTTGAACCTAGATGTATGTGTATACAGTGTATATATAGTCAGAGGAAGAGAATTCAAGCCACGGCGGGAAGAACAATGAGAATAATGAGAGTGGGAAGGTCATCCGTTGTTGCCGACCCGATCCGACCGCCCAGGTGATCTTATCATATCTGATGCTCGTCCGGCCTTGACAACCCTTGTCTTTGCCACTTCCCTCGGTCCTCCCCACCACCCCGTCTCGCTCTGTACCTCCCCTGGTCATTGCTCCATCCTTGCCAACCCGAACTAAACCACGCGCGACTTTTCTTACTTGCTGGTCTACCTCTATTTCGAGGGTCGATCAGGGGACAATTCGCCCGCCTTTCGCTCCCGACCTCCTTCCCTTCCCCGCGTGCTGAAAAAGAGAGAGAGAGAGAGAAAAAAAGAGGCGTCCATGCGCCCACGCTTGGAGGATAAGCTTCGCACCGCGCCATACCTGCTTGACGCGAGGCGTTCACGATAGAACACAATCGACAGCAGAATAGTTCCTCTCGTGTCTACAAGAACAAGCGCTTTCTACCCAGTTTTCGGTGCACAGGGTACCACACTGCCTGTTTGGGCCTCGGGCGTCAGCCCATAGGCTAAACCAGTGGCCCCTCCCACGTCGTCGTGCATAAGTGCAGCCTGACGATCGTATCCATTGGTTTGCATCACGCCGGGGTTCGAGTCCTTGGACTCGAATCTCTGCCTCCTTTGTACGACAGATCTAACGATCCGCGTCCGCATGTTGCCTTCTGGGATTCGGTTACCTAAACCTTGACTAGCAACAGCCGACGCCTGACGACTCACATAGGCGTCCTTCAGCTTCCTCAATTCATTTTTTCTCTTTACTTTTTCTTATTTCTTATTTGCTTTTTCTTCTCTTACCTTTCTAAGATACCCCTTTCTCGTCTGGTGGATCTGGCTGGCTCAGATCATTCTTACCTGTCCACGTCCGCTACCTAAACCACCTGTCGTACACTTTTCCATCCTCGAACCTCATCGGTTGTCATACTTCTAGGACTTTCGAATTTCTCACGCTCACAGCATACCATAACCTACACCCCGATACGATCTATCTCGATAAATGGACGTTGCTCTCGGTCGAGACATCCAGCGCGGTATATCATCGATCATTCCGGCACAGCCGCAATGCCCTTACTTGATACGAACTCAGGACCTTCATATGGCACCATCGATCGAATGAATAATCACGGCGAGGAAGAAGGAGAACGTCTCCTTCAGGAGGGCTACGAAAGCGAAGGAAATGGCAGCACGATAACTTCATCGGAGGATTCGGTCCAGGAAGGCGTTCGAAAAATCGAAGCGATCAATCTCACATGGACCGCAAAGTCGCTGGTCGTTGCCTATATCAGGTTCGTTGGTGTGACGGGGATTTATGTTTTTGGTATCAATAAGCATGCTAACTAGCTCGAAGTATTTTCCTCATGGCGTTTTGCACGTCTCTAGAGGGCCAGACAACCATGTCGCTCTCGGCCTATGCGACCAGTGCGTTTAGCAAACATTCGTTGATTTCAACCGTCCTCGTCGTTCAGAATGTGGTCAATGGTGGGTTCTATCCTCATGCGCGGCGCGGACCGTTGGTATCACGACGGCTGACATTATCTAGCCGTTATCAAACCCCCGATGGCTAAAGTAGCCGATGTCTTCGGTCGCTTTGAGGCGTTCTGCGTCTGCATCTTGATCTACATTCTAGGATATATTCAAATGGCCGCTTCGAACAACGTGCAAGCCTATGCGTCGGCTCAGATTTTCTACTCGGCCGGGTCGACGGGCTTGCAAATACTTCAACAGGTCTTCATTGCAGATAGCAGTAGCCTGCTCAACAGGGCATTCTTGGCCCTTCTCCCCGAGTTTCCTTTTCTGATCACCGTATGGATAGGACCAATGATCGCCGATGCGGTTCTCCAAAACCTATCCTGGCGCTGGGGTTACGGGATGTGGTCGATCATCTTGCCAGCGTCATTCCTTCCCTTGGCGCTCTCGTTGTTGTTAAACCAACGCAAGGCCAGGAGACTCAATCTCATCAAACCCAGAAAGACGCGTCATCTCGGCTTCCTCGCTGCCGCTCGACGTACCTGGTACGATCTTGATATGTTTGGCCTGATGCTCTTGTCGGCAGCAGTGACGCTCATTCTGGTGCCGCTGACGCTGGCTGCCAATGCCAAAAACGGCTGGAAGAACAACAGTATCATGGCGATGATAGGGGTCGGGGTAGTCTGTCTTCTGGTGCTGCCGTTGTGGGAAACATCCAAGAGACTTGCTCCCAAGCCTCTCTTATCCCTGCATCTCCTGAAGCAACGCACCGCCCTTGCCGGCTGTGCTCTTGCCTTCTGGTATTTTAGTAAGCTGGTTCCTTGGCGATCAATTGGCGAGATTCGTGTTTCTGACCGTATGCAGTGGCTTTCTATTTCTCGGTTCAACCGTATCTTTACTCCTATCTTCAAGTGGTCCAGGGATACGAGGTTTCTACGGCCGGCCGCGTTACCCAGACATTTGCATTCACCTCAACGATCGCTGCCTTCGGCGTGTCGATACTCATTAAATTTACGCGGCGATATCGCGTATACGTGGTCATCGGATGCGTGATCTACATCTCTGGTATTGTGCTGATGATGCTGTACCGCAAGGAGGGCAGCTCGCTCGCTCAGATCCTGGGGACCCAAATCGTAATCGGCATAGGGGGCGGAATGCTCAACGTCCCCGTCCAGTTGGGTGTTCAGGCGTCGGCGAGCCATCAAGAAGTTGCCGCCGCCACGGCCATGTTCCTGACGTGTATGGAGCTTGGCGGAGCGGTTGGTGCGGCTATCTCCGGAGCTGTTTGGACCCATAACCTACCCCGGAAGCTGCAGATGTACCTGCCGGAGGAGAACCAGGGAGACGCAAAAGCGATTTTTGGGAAGTTGACCAAGGCGCTAGAATACCCGATGGGATCGCCTGCTCGGGTTGGCATCAACCGGGCCTACCAGGAAACCATGAACAAATTGTTGGTGCTGGCTTTTGTGGTGACCATCCCGCTGATCCCGTTGAGCCTGATGATGGAGAATTACAATCTCGATAAGGTGAATCCCCTTTCTCCCTTTATCCCGTGATCTGCGACGGGCGGCTAATTCAAGCAGATGAGCTCGTCCGATCATGAACCGGTCCCTCTGGACGACGAGGCCGAACCCGAACCTGAAGGACACGTGAAACGAACGTGAAAATGTAGCGAGTGTTTGCACGTTGACGTTTTCATATGGAGCCGGTCTTCAAGAGGGATTGAAATGGCCGTTACTGATTCCGCCGAGATTCTTCGGGACGGAACGATCCCCCACCGTTGAACCCGAGCCTGCAGGCCTGCTTGCTAGGACCTATATACCATGTACTCTTTGCAAATTCTCCGATGCCTGATATCTTCTTGATTGGGGTGGGGGCTTAATAGACCTCTGGATTACGACTAGACTTAGACGAAATGAATGAACGGGGCGTTATTTATTGTTATCACTTGTTCGTATTGCACCTCCTGGATCCCTGCCGAGGGTCATTAAACGTTGACAGTCTCGGGGATCGCGGCTTCTGGCGCTGGTGAAACTTTAGTGGCCGCCGTTTTAAATGACTCCAGAAGAGTAACTAGTTAATAGTTAACGTTATCTAGCTGAGTCAGCCGCAAATGACGAAAACGTTACGTTAACTTAGTTATCCTCGATCGCTCTTTCCTCGGCACGAGTAGGCTGAACAAACATTCAGAAGTAGAGGTAGAGATATAAATAAATATCGAAATCCAATCCAACTAGCGAAAGACGCTCGTCCTGCGCGCGAGACAACAAAGCATCGTCGGCCAGCGACGGCGGCAAAGCAGGTGCTCAACATCGACCGCCCCCGACTCGAGGGGGACTGATTGGGTCCATTCTTGCGATTTCTACCTGATCGGACTGGACTATAGGTAGGTCAGTCAGTCTTCTGTCTTCACTCTTCAGTCTTCGGTCTTTCTCCTTCCCAAGTCCTTCCTAATTTCGTTCTCGTCGGTGACTTTCCCACTCGCTCCCCCATAATCTCTGAAAGAAGAGACGGTCGGAACTGGTTTGCCGTGGCCCCCCAAACTCTGTCTTGAGAGCATCATTTCTCGAGTCTCCAACCGACCGACCCCCTTTCCTTGAGGGGACCGTCGGATCGTCCGTTATCCCCGAGGTCAGAGAGATAGATCGCCCTATATTTATTTTGTTAGATTCTTTGAGTTTTGAGTCTTCAGAAAGAACGACACGAGGGTGGATCATCTAGATCGATCGATAGATTGTTTGATTGACGGTACGAGATAACTACCAAAGGTACGGTGATATTATTACAAGTAGCATCTTCCGACCAGAGAAGAAAAAGAAAAAGAAAAGGGAACCGAAACAACACTGGGGGAGTAAGAACGTGCTAGTCGCAAAAGCGTCTAGACAAGCTAACGGTGCGGGTTGCCCCATCCATTGCAGCTTTCTTTCTTTCCTGGCCCAGTCCCCTGTGCTCCTAATCGTCCTCCACCTCTGCCTCCCACATTGGCTGGCCTTCACCGTCGACGCTTTCACCGCACACCCAACCATTGCGACCTCTGGCGACCGCTCCCATCCAAACGCCTCTCCTCCATCCCTCTCTGCTTCTTCCTCCTTCCCCAACTCTTCTCCTCTCCCGGGATTCGATCATCCCCCCTCATCTTACCCCCTCCCTTCCCTACCATCTCAATCTCCCCCCTTCTCTTTGCTCACCGCATCTTTCCTCCTTTCTCTCTCGTTGCTTGAGGTGGTCTGGACGGACAACCTTGAACCTTCGATTATCTGCACTATCCCCTCTGCAGAGCCTCCAGGTAACTCCGGATCTCCATCATGGTCGTCGCCACTATTAAGTATGCTTTTCTTCTTTGGCTCCTCGGTCGAATTGCCTCGATCATCCTTCCCCCCCCCCCCATTTCCCCGCGGCTGAATACAACCCCCCTCCCTCCCCTTTCTCTGGTCGGGTGACCGGTCTTCTTATCTATCGGCGGATTGCTAATCATCCATTCTTTTTCTTCCAGATGCGTTGTTGTCGGTGATGGTGCTGTGGGAAAGACATGTCTTCTGATATCCTACACGACAAACAAGTTCCCTTCCGAATATGTTCCCACCGTCTTTGATAATTATGCCGTCACTGTTATGTAAGTTGAGGCTCGTCTTCGAACGTCGAACACGCTCTACAATACCTCCTCCACCCGCGTCGCTGAATTCATCAACCCGATCCGACCGTGTTCGATCCTTTGACTGACTCGAACTCACACCCCTAGGATTGGCGATGAACCGTATACGCTGGGACTTTTCGATACTGCTGGACAGGAGGATTATGACCGTCTCCGCCCTCTTTCATACCCCCAGACCGATGTCTTTTTGGTCTGCTTCTCCGTGACTTCCCCCGCCTCCTTCGAGAACGTTCGCGAAAAATGGTTCCCCGAGGTTCATCACCACTGCCCCGGTGTCCCTTGCCTCATCGTCGGTACGCAGACCGATCTTCGCGACGATGCCGCCGTTCGCGAAAAGCTTGCCCGGCAAAAGATGCAGCCCATTCGTAAAGAAGATGGAGATCGCATGGCCAAGGAGCTGGGTGCGGTGAAATATGTCGAGTGCTCTGCCCTGACTCAGTACAAGCTCAAGGATGTTTTTGACGAGGTGAATCCAAGTCCCCTTCCTTCCGGTGGCTTTGCCGCCGCTCCAAGTGGACCGTGCTGACGGAATTCTACAGGCCATTGTTGCTGCTCTTGAGCCCGCCCCCAAGAAGAAGTCGAAGTGCGTCTTGCTGTAAACGGATACGTATAAAAACATCCCGTTGCAGAGAAGGTCAGCACCGCTCCTTAGTTCGAATCATGTTCGTGTCGTTGACGCGTTGTAGAAATGTTCATGACTTATGGAGGAAGAGATGGAAGGTGTTCGAAGCGCATTACGTTGAATATTTTGAACGGCCTATGGAAACTGCGCGCAGACCTACTGCCCACGGCTCGTGGGCAGACACTCAGATCTCAATGATTGCCATCTTCGACACCCCCAATGCCCTTTCCCTACAACCATGGCATTCATTGACTGATACCCTAAACGTTCCAAAAACCCGTGTCGCACAGACATTTTATATTGATGAATCACCTTTACCTTGATCTTCCAGCCGGTTTTATCTTTTTTTATCTTCTTTCACTTTCTCTTTCAATTTCTCTATTACTCCTTTAGCTGCTCTACGATTCTCGTTCTCGCACCGTTCCTTTCCTGTGTCCATTTTCCCGATTCTTTCTTCCCTCTCATCGTCTCTACCGGCGTTGGAAGTCGAGGCGTCTTTGTTTTGGCTGGCTGATGGTATTGATCTGTTTCTTCATATTTTTTTTTCGCTTTTGTTGTCACGCCTGCATCTGCCACACTTAATTGTGCCGTTACGTTATTACCTCGCTTCGATCTGGAAACTAGATAGCTCAGATACAACCAGTGATGACCACATTTATTACCTTGAATTTTTTTTTGTCTCTTTTTCTGCAGAATTGGTAGAGAGAAATTTGGAATCGGGTTTCATCTGATCTCCTGGCAGTCTTTTGTCGTAGAACACATACATAGCGAGCTAGCTTATGTGGCGTAGGGAGACGTGACAAGTTTCACATTATTCAGTACATTCGTTCATCTTCGTGACACACCTCTAGTCGAAGCCTTACTTACATAAAGTCACATTCTGTTTACAATTCATCCTTCTTGGGCGCCGTCTCCTGGGCTTTCTCATCCGCCGCGACTTCCTGGCGTCCGTACCATCCGCCTAGCTCCTCACCGGCGCCGCCCTTCACTAGACTGGTGATGATCTCGAAGGCGACCTGGGCGGCGGCCAAAGCGGTGGTCTCGCCCTTGTTGTCGTAGCTGGGCGACACCTCGACGATGTCCGCGCCCACCACGTTCAGCTTCTCAATGCCGCGCATGATGCGGATGAACTCGCGCGTCGTCCAGCCGCCGGGCTCAGGCGTGCCCGTGCCGGGGGCCGTCGCGGGGTCCAGCACGTCGATGTCCACCGACAGGTAGACGGGCTGCTCCGGGTCCAGGCCGATGCGCTCGACGATGCGGTCCACCACTCCCATGGGGCCTAGATCATCAATGTCGTCGGCGTGGATGCGCATGAAGCCCTGTTCCGGGCCGGGGTTGGTGTAGTCGCTGTCCGTGGTCCCCGTCAACCGCGTGCGCAGACCGGCGTGCGCCGAGGTCGAATTGCAGATCAGGCCCTCGCGGCTGGCCTTGTGGAAGAAGCTGCCGTGGTTGAAGGCCGCCTGCTCCGAGGTCCAGTAGGCCGAGTATCGCACGGGATTCCAGGTGTCCAGGTGCGCGTCGAAGTGCAGCACCGTGATCGGCTTCCCGTAGATCTGGTACAGGGCTCGCAGCGCCGGTAGTGCCACGCTGTGGTCGCCGCCCAGTGTCACCAACTTGGGCTTGCCCGCCGAGATGCCCTTGGTACCGTACTGGGAGTCGGCCGCGGTCAGGGCGGGTCGTGAACCCAGCTCCAGGAAGGCCTCGTACATCTGACGTTCGGCCAGACCGTTGTCGAACGGGGTAATGGGGATGTCGCCGCAGTCCTTGACCGTAGCCCAGGAGCTGTAGGGGTTGATTCCGGCGCGAGTGTTGTAGCTGGTGCCGGCCATCTGGCGGGCACTGGCGGCGCGAATGGCTCTAGGACCGAACCGAGCACCTGCATGGAGAGTCAGCGATTATCAATTTTGGTTTTGAATGCATTTTATTGGTGACGAGAGATCTTTCAGGAGGGGAAACGTACCTGGCCTGTAGCTGACAGCGGTATCAAAGGGAGCTCCGATGACGGCGATATCGTATCGCTCATCGGGCTCGACTAGGCACTTGACCGGCTTCAAGTGCGCGAAGCTGGCGATGCCGGAGAATGACCACTAGAGAATTGACGTTAGTTGGTGGTTTGGAGGCGAAAGAAGATAGCTGAGGAAAGCGGTACACGCACCTCCTGGTCCCATTTCTTCAGCAATTCCTCGCGTACATGGTCAGGAATAGCTTCGTCGTGGTCATGATGAGCATGCGCAGACGCCGTTGCGGCCAAGGCGAGCAACCCTAGGTGGAATTTCATGGCAGGTCGGCTCGACAGAGAAAGGCCTCGGAGAAGGATGGGACGGGGGGGAGTTGAGGGGTGAACACATAAGCGCAAGGGAGGGATGAAGTATAAGTAGTCCTCCGATGTATGGAAATCGAATCGGGGCGAAGTGGGCCTTGCAGCCTCAGGCCGTGACGTCGTCCGGACCTTCCCTTCTCGGCCTTTTTCACTCTCTCCACTTCGTCTCTTCGCTTTCTTCTCTCATACTTTGCCTTTGCTGACCATCGACATTCTCCGACTTGATCTTCCTCTCATTGCCTTCTTCTATCCGCCTCGACCATTGGCTCTTTCATCCCCACCCAACTCGATTTCACAGCATGCCATGCGTCGTGTGGTCGTGACAGGTCTCGGCGCGGTCACCCCCCTCGGAGTAGGTATGTTTATCCCATTCTCCCGGTTATCAACCATCAACCGCCTATCCTCTATCATGAATGCCATTCGCTGCATCGCTTCGTTGTCTGTTTTCATTCCGGCGCAATTCCTCTCTGGCGGCCTCCAATCATCGAGCTCCACTGCTCCCCACTTCCGTCCCGAAGGGGAAGGTCTTGGGAGAAAAGCGCCTGTTGGAACATTACCCCGGAAAGGCAGTTGTACACGATAAGCTCTCCCGTCGTTGCATGACGCACCCAGACGTTGCCGCTTAGACCGCTCGGTTCGCTAAGTGACGCCCGTTTTCTATAGGAATCCGTCGCACCTGGAAACGCCTGTTGGATGGTCACTGCGGCATTGTCAATGTTCGCCATCGCGATTCCAGGTTTGCCGACTTGCCCTGTCAGGTTGCGGCGGTCGTGCCTTCGGGGACGAAGCAGGATGGAGGCTGGACGGCTTCGGAGTGGTTAAGTAAAGATGTAGGTTCCCGGGTTTGCGAAGTTTTGTTGAGCCGAGCTGATGTCCGGTATAGGAGGAGCGCAAGATGGCTCGTTTCGCGCAGTATGCGTTGGTTGCCTCGCAAGAAGCTTTGGCGGATGCCGGCTGGATGCCTACGACATTTGAACAAAAAGAGACGACGGTATGTTTTACGTGCCTCAACTTTTGGTTTACGTATGGCCATTTAACGAGTGCCCAGGGGGTTTGTCTCGGGTCAGGCATTGGGAACTTTGACGAGATTTATAACACCGTCACGGCGTATGAAAAAGGGGTCAGTCAGTCTGTTGAGGCTAATATTGTCGGAGCTATCATCACTGATTTTTCATAGGGCTATAAAAAAGTGTCGCCTTTATTCGTACCCAAGCTTCTGATCAATCTCGGTGCTGGCCATATCTCCATGAAATATGGGTTCATGGTAAGTGATCGATCTCACACCAACCTCACCAGTTTGGAACCGAAAGATTAACCCTATAGGGCCCTAACCATGCGGCAACAACCGCCTGTACCACCGGCGCACATTCTATCGGCGACGCAGCTCGCTTTATCGCATGCGGGGATGCGGATGTGATGGTTGCCGGAGGGGCTGAGTCGTGTATTCACCCCTTGGCCATCGGGGGCTTTGCGCGGGCGCGAAGTCTTGCCACCAGCCACAATGATGCCCCCGAAAAGGCGTCAAGACCGTTTGATGCCGACCGCGAAGGGTTCGTGGTTGGAGAAGGTGCAGCTATGGTCGTCTTAGAGGTACGTGCTTGCCGGAAAAAAGAGTATCTTGTATGGCTTCTCGGGGCTCTGACCGTCATTCTTTAGGAGTTAGAACACGCCAAAGCGCGAGGGGCCCAGATCTATGCGGAACTGAAAGGATATGGCTGCTCCGGAGATGCCCACCACATGACGGCGCCGAAGGAGAACGGGGAGGGTGCCTTCTTGGCTATGAGAAAGGCCCTGCGAAGCGCGAAGATCCAACCGTCCATGGTTGACTACGTCAATGCACACGCTACGTCAACCGTTGTCGGTGACGCGGCAGAAAACGTTGCGATCAAAACTCTCCTTCTTGGGCCTGAAGGAAAGAAGCACGCGGCAGAGGTCAATGTTAGCAGCACCAAGGGGGCTGTGGGCCACTTGCTGGGCGGTGCTGGTGCTATAGAGGCGCTGTTTTCTATTCTGGCTATTCACGAGGTATGTGCCGGCAGCTGTCCATCGAAGACAGACAGAGAGAGAGAGAGAGCCATACTAACTCGTGGGTTTAGAATATGATGCCACCAACAATTAACCTGGAGCGAGCTGACAATGGATTCGACTGCAATTATGCTCCAAACAAGGCGCAAGAACGCCGGATTGACGTGGCTTTGACCAACAGTTTTGGCTTCGGGGGGACGAACAGCAGCCTGTGTTTCTCTCGTGTGGGATGAATGGATGGAGAATGGGTATAATTCCCTCTACTGTACAGCATGCATGGCATACCTCATTCCAACGATTGTACAATAAATAGTTATTAATGGACCTTGCATGGATTCAATCCACCGCACGTAATACTAGCGGTGTCCTCGATCGGGCGCTGTGACACAACTCGGATGGAGAGTGGAGCATTCATTGCAATTGTCTTGACTGCAGCAGCAACTGAATCAACAATGACAGCACCAGGGAATGGCCAATAGAGGACCGAGGTTGACGCCATCCTTCCCCTGCTTCACAACACCCATTCATTCATTCGTCCCGTCCTTTGTGTTGGCGTTCATTGTGTGGAATTGATCTTCGACGGACTCGACTTCGCCCTTTGTATGGCGGCACGTGACGCCCCAATGCGGAGCGCCCCGGACTCCCTGCTATCGGGAAATCAGGCAGATCGATCTCGCTGCCCTCCCCCATCACGACGCAACAGTCGAGTTTGGACTTTCTTGTCCCCGTCGATTTATCTTTCTTTCATTCTGGCCTCCCTGATTCCCAGTGTGGCGACAGAAACTCCCCTTTCGGGTCGGTTGTGGTAATCATGGCTACGAACGGTGACGCCAAAGGTCCGTTGTCCCAGCCCCAACCTGGTCTTATCTCCAGCCAAGCTCCGGCAGCGAGATCTTACTGACTGATTTGCATCGATAGCGTCGTCGGCGGGTACCTTGGTCGATGCGTCGGGATACAAGTTTTCGGAGAAGGATGCGAAACCGACCAAGATCAAGGTGAAGAAGTCGGCGAAGTTGGGGAAAAAGAAGGCCGATGGTGAGTGTCTAGTGCTCTGTCATCAACCTTGTCATTTGTCTCGAGTTCCCATTCCATAGCCTCGATCCTTGGAAAGAGAGGGAGGGAGAGGGCAAATTGCGAGACCGGGGGTGCGCGGCATTGGGCTATACAACGATCTGGAAAGACCCGGGAAATCGGACCAAAGGCTAACTGCTTGCTGTTTACCGGCATAAATAGACCCCCCAGCTTCTCCAGGCTCCTCCCCCATCTTACCGGAAATCGACGAGAAAACCATGGCCGCCTTCCCAACTGGCAAACCGCGCGAGGAAGATAATCTGGAGACGGTCATCTGCAAGACCTGTAAGAGGCCGGTCCTCAAGCAGGGCGCCGCCGAGCACATTCGCGGCTGTATCAAGGCGAAGCAGGAGAAGGCACGGCGCAAGAAAGAGGCGCGCGACGCCGCCAACCGGGCCAAGGAGAAGGGCGACAAGGACGGCGACGAGGAGGCCGCGGGCGGCGAGGGCGACGACTCCATGAAGGGCCAGAAGAGCGCCAAGAAGAGCGCCGTCAAGGGCATGGCGGAGGATGGCACCAAGAAGGGTAAGAAGCGCAAGACCGAGGCCGAAGACGAGAAAGACAAGGAACCCAAGAAAAAGAAAAAGAAGGAGGAGCCCAAGCCCAAGGCAGCCAAGCCCAAGGGTCCGGTCGACGTCGAGAAGCAGTGCGGTGTCACCTTGCCGAATGGCGCTCAGTGCGCTCGCTCTCTCACTTGTAAAAGTCACTCGATGGGTGCGAAGCGTGGCGTGCCCGGTCGTTCGCTGCCGTACGATATGTTGCTTCAGGCCTATCAGAAGAAGAACCAGGCCCGTCAGCAAAGTAAGTGTTGTCTTGGGGTCGTCTTGGGATGTTGCATTGTTCAGAGCTAACACATGAGATCTCTACAGAGGCTGCCATCGATGCCAATGCTCCTCTACAGGATGATCTGGAAAACAACGGCCCCGTGGACTCGGATGAAGAGAAAGACGCCGTGATGGCAGGCATTACTCGCTCCACCCCTGTACCTCTCGCCACCCATACTTTGATGACGACCAAGCAGAAATACAAGTACGTGCGGATCAAAGAGATGCTCTCGCATGCCCTGGGCGGTTCTCGAGGCGGCGGTCTTTTCTCGAACGGCGACGCCTCCGTGGCGGAAGGCAATCCGTTTCAGCCTGTGGCTGATATCCTACCTTCGACAACGTCCCCTGTCTCCGCCAGTGCACCAGAAAACGCTACCGACGCAGGTGGGAAGACTCCCGCAACCGCCACAAAGAAGTTGCCGGTGATGGCCAGCTCGTAAACCTTATTTTTTTTTTTTTTTTTCCCTTACGGCGGCCTCTCTGTCTTGGGCGAAGTGCCCGGCAGAGAACGAAGTGACGACGGCGCTTTGCATTTTATCTCGAAATTGGTTTCTGTTGTAGCGTTATTCTGGGAGCTTCTGCGATAGGAGTCTGGGTCTGGTTTACTTGTGTTGAAATAATGATACCCTCTGAGTCTCTTGGGATGTGGATGTCTGTAAATTAGTTGCTGTCGATTCCTTTAGCTGTCTAGTTTTGTTTTATTGTATGTCTTCACAGGGGGGTATTTGACTCCTGAGTGAAGAATAACTCCAGATATTGTACATGAGAACATATCCTAGTATTTGAATAATACTGTGGGTTTATTATGTCTGCTTGCACAGTAAATTCTAGTATAGTCAATAGATAGCCTATATACTCCGTGATCTACTCCGGACAGTATACTGACCTCACCGGACGAATGGCTGCCTCATACGGGTGCCTTACTGCCTTACTGCCTTACTGCCTCGTTGCCTCGTTGCCTTGACATCATGTGCGGAATCGCGACCAAATCGAGACTTTCTCGACGATCCGCTTCAAACAAAGAATCCCACTTCTCCCTGGAATTCTTCTTGCACCCTCACTCGCTTCTACTGGTCCTCGTCTACCCCGGCAGAAGTACATTGCTTCTGCGCCTGCGGGCGAGAGAGCTCCTGAATCTAGAAAATATCCCCGCTAGATCTTGTCTCGCCATCGTGACCTTCCTTCCCCTTGAGAGTCTAGCTTACTCTCTCTCGCAAATCAAACGAACTTACCTACGACCTCTGCCCACCCTGCTTACCGATATTAACTTATCTCATCCCCGCGGTCGCAATGAGTAATTCCGTCCCGGATCTCGACGCCGTCGGCATCAAAGCCGAGCACGATCTGGCCGATCAATTCCGTCGCGAGGTCGCTCAGCTCCTCGGCCGCAACAACCTCAACTTCCCCGGCGCACAACCTGTCAGCTTCTCCAGTCGCCACCTCACCGAGCTCCAGCGTCAGGACTATTATGTTTGCGAAAAGACGGACGGCATCCGCTGCCTGATGTACTTTGCGCGCGGGGACCCCGAGTCTGGGAATGCGGAAATCCACTACCTGATCGACCGCAAGAACGACTATCGTTACGTGCCGGGCCTGCATTTCCCACTTCCCGGCGACGACTCCTTCCAGTCATTTCATGTCGACACCCTGGTGGATGGCGAATTGGTGAACGATACCTATGATGATGGGACGCAACAGCTGAAGTACCTCGTCTTCGACTGCCTGGTGCTGGACGGACAACCCCTGATGCACCGCACGCTGGACAAGCGGTTGGCGTATTTCAAGGAGAAGGTGCTCAAACCCTACAACGCGCTTTTTGAGCGCTTCCCCGAGGAGAAGGCGCACCGCGTCTTTGCCGTCGAGGACAAATCCACCCAGTTCAGCTACGGCATCGAGATGATGTTCCGCGAGATCATCCCCAAGGTCAAGAAAATCCACGGCAACGACGGCCTCATCTTCACCTGTCGTAGCACCCCCTATCGCATTGGCACCGACGAGCACATCCTCAAGTGGAAGCCCCCGGCCGAGAACACCATCGATTTCCGCCTGCGGCTCGAGTTCCCCACCCTGGAGCCTGACTCCGATGACGAGGCCGACGGCATCACCGAGCCCTACCCGGACTACGACGCCCTGCCCATCTTCCACCTGTTCGTCGGTCTCAATTCCAACGAGTACCGCTTCTTCGGCGAGATGTTCGTCACTCCTGCGCAGTGGGAGGAGATGAAGGCGCTCGGGCAGCCCCTCGACGACTCCATCGTGGAGTGCTCCAAGGACGAGCAAGGCCGGTGGCGCTTCCACCGCATTCGCGATGACAAGGCCGACGCGAACCACATCTCCACCGTCGAGAAAGTCCTCGAAAGTATCCAGGACCGCGTCACGGAGGATGATCTCATCCGCTTGGCGCCGGCCATCAAGACCGCCTGGAAACGACGCCAGGCGCAAATGATGGAAGACGAGGAGCGGAAACGGAGGGCCGCCCGACAAGCGCCACATGCGAACGGGAATGGGGTGAAGAGGAAGTTCGAAGACTCATAAAACTATTCATCTCCTTTTCTTCTCTCCAGGTCTACCTTTTCTTTTAGCCTTCATTTCACCCATCTTCACATTTCCCTCCCTTTTCCTTTTTCCGAAGGAAATCTTAGTTTTTAAAGATCGCCCAAGACTCAAGACATCAACATTACTTCTTCTTTTCTTCATAGGTTGGGATTTTGCGAGGTGTCCGGCGTTCATTTATTGATTGGTTGATTTGTCCTCTAGATTAGAGGATTTCAAAGAACACACGAGCAGAATAAATTTCAGAAAAAGGGGAGGCTGAAGTGGCTCCAGGGGATGTGTACAATGTGTAATTTATGATGCGATGGCTGTCCTTTTGATCTATTCCCTCTTCATATTCTCCCATCTATGATTTCAGTAGAGAAATCGAGATGCTTTCATCGATCATCCTTGGGTACCAGATAGGATTCAATGCATGACAGCAGAAACAAAATACGGAATATATGAGGATTCTATTCTGTAGGGCAGATTTCAATGCAATTGCTTTAAATTGTCCAGGTATAAAACAGGAAGAAAATTGAAGGAATTTCGAATACAAAGAAAGAGCAATTGATTGATTGATACATTGTCATCACACGCACAGACAGAGAGAGAGAAAACAGATCTACCGTTTCTTGATGCTCACGTCGAGGTTGCCGATGGCCCAGGCGGCCACGAAAACGGTCAAAAGACCGGCGGTGATGGTCACCGGCTTGCGCAGTCCATCCCAGGTGGAGTAGTCGTAGGTCACCTAGAATAGGTTTGTTACGTTAGTCGGTGGTCGGAGCTATTTTGGGGAGGGAGGTTGGGAGGAGATTTAAACACTACTTACCACCAGTTGGGAGCCGCGCGCTTCGTCGGACAGGTTCTCCACCGTCAGGGTCAACGCGGTGCGACCCAGCGTGTCCATGAAGGTCTTGTGGCTGGAGATGTGCGATTCGATCTGGTCGGCAGCGGGGAGACCGTTGCTGGAATCGCCCTCGACTAGTTCGTACTGCACGTTGCGGGCGCCCTCGGGCAGGATCACCCGCACGACAGCCTTCTCGTACTGCACGCCCTCCAGGGCCTTGGGTCCCTCGATGAAGGGAACCTTGAGCACGTACGAGTCGGCGCTGGCGACGGCCCGGCGGAGGAAGGACGACAGCTCGTTGTTCCAGCCAATGCGGAAGCTGTAGTTCCAGCCGCCAAAGACCGGGAAGCGGGGGCGCAGCTCCAGGAAGCCGTCACGGTTGGGAGCCTTGCCGGGGCGGTAGCGACTCGTGGAGACGTTGCCGATGTCATCGATGAAGTAGGGGTCCACGGAGCCAGGCTTCAGCGGGTACTTCAGCTCGCGGATGGCCGACGACGGCAGCTGCTGGTAGTTGCTAATGGTCCATTCAACCCGCGAGAACTGGTTCTCGAGCTTGGAGCCGTTGTTGCGCAGCCAGTAGCGTTCCTCCGTCGCCAGGTTGCCGCCCCAGTGGGACACTTCCAGATCCCGCTCCAGCAGCGACGCAGTGATGACAGGCTTGGTGAACTCGTAGCGGATGGTGATCGGGTAGACGGTGCCGGGAGCGACGTCCGAGGTCTCGTAGGGCCCGTACGTGTAGGTCGTGCCCTGACGCTCGGGATCCGCACCGGACTTCAGACCCTTGGTCGAGGTGTAGCCGGGTACATTGGTGCTGGGAAGCTTCAGCTTCGTCTTCTGGGTCACCGTCTTGTAGACTGAAGGGAAGTAGGCGGAGAAGGTGTGCGTCAGGTATTGCCTATCGGATTGGCCGATGGTGGCCGGGCGTGGGCTCAGCGTCGATAGCACATAGTAGGAGATTCCGAGGGTGATCTGGGATTTGGGAGCGACAGGCTCGGGGAACTGGACCAAGTAGTACTGGAAATCACCGCTATAGTCGATATAGTCAGCGTCTGTCCGGGTGAAGAGCCTCAATGGGCGCGCAATCGTGGCCACGAGGACGAGCCACGCTGGCTCATACTCACTTGGACGAGCTCGACTCAACAGCCTCCACGTCGAAGCGGCCTTTCTCGGGGGCCTTCTTGTCTCGGACTTCCAAGCCACCGATTTTATCAACGAGATCCGTTGCGAAGGGGATATAATACTGGGATTGAGGCTTCTTGTCGACGTTCTCAACGACCACGTTGACCGTCTCGCGGACGTAGCCTTTCTCCAGGTTGGTGTTGCGGACCAGGTTCACATTCTTGAAGACCTGGGCGAAGGATTGGGCCCAGGCCAGGCAGGGGAGCCCGCAGAATAGCAGGACGGCGAAGAGGGCAAGCATTGTGACGGAATGCTGCTGCAGATGGAAGAGGGTCGAGGGGGTTGCGACTTGAAGCATCTCGAGATGTGGACACCGTGGCGATGACTAAGCGCCCTGGCAGCTCTCCGCCGAGCTTTGCGGCCTGCGCTGCTCCCTTTCGTCATGACGAAAGGTTTTATGGATATCTAGATCTTCACTACTCATGGATCCTGACTTAGAGGAGCTCTACTCAGTGTAGACTCGGTTATCGAGCAGCTATAGCCAGAATCATTCCGAAATAAGACCGCCTGGAAGACCGCCGTCGCTGGTCGTGTCAATATGGTCAATTTGCCGTCGCAGTCGACATAGAATTAGATTGACAGGATTTCTGCCTAGAATACATGATAAGAACAATAAACTGTCCCGTCCGGTTCATCTCATACCGACACCCACAATCCAGATGGCATCTACGAGGCCCTAATCGTGCCATGTACCGCCGAGGTACCGCTACCATACAAACAGTATGGGGCGGGGACCCACCGGGTACAACCCGCGAGATAAGCCGGACTAAGCCGGACTGAGTAGTTATATCCATCCATTCCTTCTCCGCGCCGCTTCTTCCTCTTCTCCTCTTCATCCCTCCCTCTCTCCTCACTCAATATGCTCCCTTCACGGGCTACGGCACGTCTTTGCTGCCGGTCGGCTTATTCCCGGCTGCTCCCTCAGCGGCGCTTTAACCACAGCCTCCTGTCAAGCAAGTTCCTGAATGTTTCCGAGGAAGTTCGTGATGCTGTAGCAACGGGGAAGCCCGTCGTGGCGCTGGAGTCGACTATCTACACCCACGGTGCGCTTGCGACGACATATATCATTCCGCGAAATTTCAATTGACTCCCTGTTAGGATTTCCGTACCCAGAGAGCGTCGCCCTAGCCGAGCTTCTCGAGTCCGTCGTCAGAGTCAACGGCGGTGTCCCCGCAACCATTGGTATCCTCAATGGTGTAGCCCGAGTTGGTTTGTCGGCGGACGAGCTAATTGAGCTGGCCTCGACTGCTGAGAGGAAAGATGCTCTGAAGGTCTCACGAAGAGACCTGGGCTACATATGTGGTCTGGTAGGTCGACCGATCCTCCCCACCTATCTAGCTAACCGTGTGGTTTGACTGTTCCATAGGGCTTGGCTGGTAAGCGGCTTCACGGCGGCACGACAGTCTCGGGCACTATGATCCTTGCCCATCTGGCTGGTATTCGAGTCTTCGGCACCGGCGGTCTTGGTATGTGGCAACTTTACACTTCCAAACTTGTGGTGGAAGCTAATCGTCCGTAGGCGGTGTTCATCGCGGTGGGGAAAACTCCATGGATATATCTGGTACGATTACTCAACGAGATCTAACAATTTTATTCTAACGCATTGCACAGCCGATCTCACGGAGCTGGGACGAACCCCGGTGGCTGTCGTTAGCTCCGGATGTAAAAGCTTCTTGGACATCCCCCGGACCCTCGAGTACCTCGAAACGGAGGGTGTCTGCGTCGGAACTTTTGCCGATGGTCGCCAGGGCTCTGTGGATTTTCCGGCTTTCTTCACCCGGGACAGTGGCATCAAGAGTCCCAAGGTCATCCAAAACGAGGCCGAGGCGGCGGCCATAATCTGTAAGCTCGAATGACCCGCGCAGCATTCCCTTGTAGTATTGTCTTTGATTCGAGTTTTCCCACTAATTGATCCAAACCCTATCAGACGCGCAAACCAAGCTTCCTTTGTCATCTGGAATGCACTTTGCCAATCCTGTGCCGGTAGAACAGTCCATTACCAAGAGTGAAATGGACTCAATCATCGAAGAGGCCCTCCGACTGGCTGATGTAGAAGGTTTCCACGGAAGCGACAACACGCCATTTGTGCTGTCTAAGATCAAACAACTCAGTGGTGGAAAGAGTGTCACGGCCAACCGAGCCCTAGTCGAGGCAAATGTCCAGCGAGCGACCAAAGTAGCCGTGGAGCTTTCCAAGTTGGAGCAGTCCCAGGGATCGCTTAACGAACGGTAAGTAGGCTTGTCTCTCAACAAGATCTCCATCGACCTATTCTATACAAAAAGCAAATATCCCTAATTGCGAGATGGTCTCCCGCACAGACATATGCCAGCAATTTCCCGCACTGTGAAGGCTGACCAAGCAACCCCAGAGCCAGAGCTGGTGCAGCTCCACTCGACCAGTGAGAATCCCACCGAGAAGCTAGACAAGGCCGATGTTCTCGTTGCTGGCTCCCTTGCTATTGACCTGTCCTGTGACTATGCACCCTTTGCGGGAGAATCCAGCAAGACCCCTGTTCCGCACACGTCCAATCCCGCCGTCATCTCCCAGAGCCTTGGAGGAGTGGGCCACAACGTGGCTATCGCTTCCAGCTACCTCGGAAGCTCCGTTCTCTTCTGCAGCGTTGTTGGAGAAGACCTCAGCGGCCGTGCCGCGCTCTCAACCCTTCGCGAGGAGGGACTCACAACCCAAGGCATTCAGATCCTCCCTGCCTCGGACGGCGCCCGGACGGCCCAGTACATCGCCGTCAACGATGCCACCAAGGACCTGGTTCTCGCCATGGCCGACATGGGCATCATGGAGCTGCCCAAGCACGTTCTCGACTTCGACGGGTTCTGGGAGCCCATGATCGCGCGCACCAAGCCCCAATGGGTCGTCGTCGACGCCAATTGGAACCCCGACGTGCTGGCCAAATGGGTCACTGTGGCCAAGAAACACGGTGCCCGGGTCGCCTTTGAGCCCGTGTCCACGGCGAAAA